GAGCTTCTCCATTGATGTGATATTTTATAAATTGGTTTGTGATACGTCCTATTCAAATGTTGTTTTCATTTACATCGTTGTTGTGTTGCAGTATCCGTGAGAATTTTGTCTGAAAGACTGGAAATTTTGTCATGAAGAAATGATGTTTTGAAAAGATTTTTGTTCCAGTTTAGAAATTTGTTTGGGTAAGAGAATGATGCTTCGTAGAGAACATGATTTTTTTTTGGAAATTTCATTGAAATATTTTGCAGTTCAGCGTGTGGCTAGTTTCACTTAAGAAGGAGAAATGAGAAAATTTCTCGTGGAAAAGAAAGGTTCTATGAAAATTTCATTAAGATTGGCAATCCATTTGGTACAGATGCTCGACAGTTATTGCGGTCTTTGATGGATGTGACTTGTTCCTTTCTGAGGAAATCAATCACGTATCCGTTCGCGTTGACATCCATCTTAATGTCTACGTTTGGCTCGAGGTAAATCCTGTCTTTCTTAGGAGTTGTTATCATTGTTTTTCATATTTTTATTATTTGAGTTTCTGTCATCTTTCGATTTTCCCGCATGAGATTGTTCGATATATTTTGGGGCAGTTCAAGGCACTGTCATGGTCAGATTTGTTTCTGTGCGATGACAAGCATTGAAAGGAGGATGGGTCTGATGATGAGATGAGTGATGCGTATTGAAGTAGCCTCGTGTTTTCATATTTCATGTATTTTGTTTCGATTGAGTCGTTGATGATGAAAAGTTGATTGGATGGTGGAAAAATTGAACTGTTTTGAATGTGATTTGTGGAATTTTTATTTAAGTTTTTTTAAACTCTAGATATTTTAGTTTTTTACTCTGATCTTTTGCAATCGTATAATTGCACTAAGGATTTTTATAAGACATGGATCAGTTTCAGTGTATTTTTGAGTCGTCTAATGCTTGATCTTTATGTATTCATAGCAGCCTTTCAACTGTTTCAGTTTACCGGTTCGTGATCTGAACGTTCGATCGTCGTCGATATGGAGTTTACGATCGACAAAATGCAGCAGCTGGTGGCAAGTTCATCAACTGTTGTGGTCAAGTGGAAACCAGTGGAGAGGACAGTATTCATTTTTCCGACTCTATCGAGGCGCTTTGCAATTGGGTTGGGATGGACTTTATTATGCTGCACCGATTTTGAGTCTTTGAGCGAAATTCACTTGA